ATAGTATAGTATAGTATAGTATAGTATAGTATAGTATAGTATAGTATAGTATAGTAGTGATGATCTTGGCGCTGATGACTGGCCTGATTACTCATTTCATTCACCTACCAAGTTCCGCCCAGTTCTCGTTACCATCCTCTTATCCACCTGCTTCACTGTCTATTTAACCGGCCTTCAACCAGTCATCAGGGCCAGATTATTTGAGCCTGTGGTGGGAGTTTTTGAGTGTTTCCCGATTGCCTGATCCTGACCCATTCTGCATCTGGACATCTGAGCCTGGCTTTCCCCGTTTTGTTTTGTTTGCCCTACCTGCCTTCGGACTCCTGCTGGATTCTGTCCGTGTACCAAACCTGAAATTGTTCCCCGACTCTGTTCTGGATTTCCCTTTGGACCTCTGATCTCCTGGTTCTGACTACAGAGAATGTCTTTGACACCGGCTTTGGCTTCGCCCTCTGGATTATCCTACCTTTCTTCATTTGCACGGTTCTGATATCCTGCCTGTCCCCAGACCTGCTACAAACCACCACCTGGGACTCTCAGGGCGGAGTACTGACTAGAAACTATCCCATCCCCTAGTAACGGATTAAACTTTAAGATCAGGTTAGTGACTCACACGTTCATTTAAATCCTCTGCCAGATAGACGTGGTCACTAACCTGTGTTCTCCTGCTGCAATGGTTCCTGCCTTAGACACCAAAGTGACATTTCAATCTTAAATAAAGGCTTTGTTAAACCTGTCTTACAGCCTTGAATACTGGGTCCTTTTGTACTGAGCCTGACAAAAGTATTGTACAGTATATGCTACAATATAGTATTATATAATATTATTTCACATTGAATGAAGTCTTTGAGTCAGAATTATCTCTGGCAGTATAGTATAAGATAGTATAGTATAGTAAAGTAGATTATGGCACGGCATAACATTGTATTATCATTGTATTATCACAGTATTAGTGTTGTTAAGTATATTGTGCATCAGTAAATAATATCATTGTATAGTACTAAATATTATATTATATAATAGTGTATAGTAGCAGAGTATATCATAATAACTTATAACATTTTATAGTACTGTATAGTATAATCAGTGTAGATTAGCTTAATATAGAATAGAATAGCAAAGTATACAGTTTTGGTGTAGTTTATATATTAGTTTATAAAATAATATTGCATAGTACAGTAAAGGATAGTATAAAAGAGCATAGCATATTAGAGTATAGTATGATAATATACAATAACCTTAAATTAAATATCAAAGCTGTATAGCATTGTTTATTATTGAAAATAGAAGAATAGTATTACGCTGATTTAATATGACATAGAATAGTATGGTATGGATAACTCTGTTATTAACGTGGTTTAGTTTAGTGTAGTATAGTATAGCTTAACATAGCATAGTAAATGACAGCATGGCATTGTATATTGAAGCATATAGTATTATATACCTAGTTAGCATAGCATAGAATGGTATTACAGATATCATTAAATCACAGTTACTTTCCTGAAGTTTTCAATCATGTAATTTTAAAGTGGTAATAATTGTTGAATAGGTCAGACATTATGCTGAGAAACTATTAAGTGGTGGCTTTAAAAAAAAACACAACATAGTTGGGAGTTTGTGGTTTAGCTGTTCTGTGTTTTTATGATACATTTTAGATCTCCACATTTTACAAACATAAAGAAGGCCAAGCCAGCTCTATTGTGGGAAAAACAACACCTAATTTAGTATTGGGATCAACAAAGTATTTATGACTTCAATTAAATGTACGACCACTTTTCTGTTTTCCAGCTATCTACTCATACTTCATGGTTAACTACAGTAGTAATTGTGGACGACTCTTGACTATTATTAACCCTTACCTACAGATACCTACCTGCATAACACCCCATAGCATAATTTGACACCAGTTTCTGTTCCTGTTATATTTGTTACTGTTTCACCAATTAAATGTCAGATTGTGCTTCCAGGGGAGCACAAAGCTGATTGAGTGATTGACAGCAGTGTCGTTTTTTCCTTCTTACTGTTAACATGGCGTCTGTTTTATCCACGCTGTCAGAACTTACTCAGCAGAGCTGCTTTTGTGGTTGTGTATTGGAGAGATGCATGGTGGGAGGAGCAGGCAGTCTTTGTCCAGACGTAGCTTCTTATTACACTTGACTGATGATTCGCCATGGTCCAACTGGAAACACAGAGGACAGAGATTAGATGTAGAAATTGCAGAAAGGTTGGAGATTAATGGAGAGTTTAGTCCATGTTCCAACCTTGTGTTTCCTTTTGCTTTTGCTGATGTGTTTTTCTGTTGGAGTCCCCATGTTTGCAGCTGCCTGCCTTCTGTGTTTACCTCCGCTCTCCACCCTCTCCATCCTCCCAGCCAGTCTGGGATTATTCTGCTCGTGCCCAGGGGGGAGGTCCAACACTCCCAAACCTTGGCTAATCTTCTCTCTGTCCCTTGCAGCAGTCCTCTCCCTTTCTCCAAATGCAAACCTGTCCTCTCTGTCTGTCTGCCTCTCCCTGTCTGTTAATCTGTCTCTGTCACTTTGCCTTTCCTTGTCCTTCACTAAACGCTCGTTTTCTTCCTCCTGTCTCTCCCCCTTCGCCATCTTCTGCCTCTCTTTGTCCCTCCCTGCATTGCTGTCCCTTTCCACCGCTCCCATCCTGGATCTTTCTCTCACAGCCGGCCCCGGCACCCTGCTAAGGAAGCTCAAGTCAATTTTCACCCACAAACTCTGAACTTCAGGATATTCCCTCAGAGGGGACAGAACCGCAGCATGTCCAATATTTGGTGATGGGGACACGGGCTCCACATCCTTGCCTTGCCCGCCAGACCCTCCGGGATCCGGCACGGAATTCCCAAAAGAAGCACTTATGCTGCTGACGCTCAGAAGGTTGTTAGCAACGCTTCCGCTGGTGGTTACACCGCCGCCGTCTTTGCCTCGAAGTCCTGTTCCTGCAAACGCGCCCAGATTTCCCGCGCCTCCAGCGACGCCAAGGCACGGAAGGAGAGGCGTATGGATGTGAGAGTTGGCCAGCGTCTGCGTGTTAACCGCAGAGCGTGTTGCCTGGGGTGGCAGAGAGGGGACTTTGTTGGCGTCCTCGCCGTCCGACTGGCATTCTGACGAGGAGGAAGAGGAATCTGTTTCGATGAATTCTCTGGACTTTGGTGTGATTTTGCTGCTGGGACCTCTATGTTTCCTCTTGTCCTGTGCATAAAGATTATTTAAAAAAAGAAGCAGAGGGGACATTTAGTCAGTTATGTGCATGTGGAGGATCCCAAACAACACCCACCCAAACCATCTGACTCATCTGCCATGAACTGCTGCACTCCTACACTCTTAACAAAAGAGATCTGCTGTAGACAAACATTATACTGAAAAACAAAGGCTGTAACTGGATCACTGGATGTGATAATATCATGTGAATTATGCGGCACAAGTTGGCAGCTTGTTCTGCTAATCTGTGAAGTGAAATGAAACATGCTTGGATGTGTGACTCTGAATGTCACCAGCGTTCAGCGCGTGGAGTCGCACAGCTGAGCGGACCGCCGTCTGTTTGCCACATGCTAATTAAAAGATGCATCTAATATTTCATAGATGGCTTTTCTTTTGGTTACAAACTTTATTATAGTGAGGAAGACTGAGTAGAAGTCAGTGTTTTAAGATCACTAATCTTCAGATAGGCCATTAGCGGTTCTAGACCGGGGCCAACGGGGGCCTGTAGATCATGTCTTGGCCCCTGTTAAGGCCCCTGTACTGAAGACATCATATTCAAATAAATTCTAATTATGATATGCTCTGTAACAGACATACGTAGTTACTGATAGTGATTTTACAGCTGCTTTTTGTATGTCTGCTTCTGTCTCCTTGAACCCCAGTCGGCCTCAGCAGATGGCCGCTCACACTGAGCCTGGTTCTGCTGTAAGGTTTCTTCCTGTTAAAAGGGAGTTTTTCCTCTCCACTGTCGCTACAAGCATGCATAGTGTGACGGATTGCCTTTGAGTCAATGAGTCGATGCAATCAACTGGTTTTCCTGAGATAGAAAACTTTGAATCAATCTGACTGGATGATCTGGTGAACTGTAAAGTGCCTTGAGAAGATGTGTGTTGTGAATTGGCGCTATAGAAATGAACTGAATTGAATTTAATTGAATTGATAGGTCTTTTAGATCTATTTAGTTTTTTTCTTTAACAAATCGGTTTTACTAATTATTTACAAACAATAAGGTTATAGCTTCAGTGGTATTAAGACAGGATCCCATTTTTTATCTGCTAAATTATTTATTTTTTTTTCCAAAACAAATTGCTCTAATTTTTTACAGCTGAAATTATCAGTTTTTCTTGAGTCCTAATTCAGATTTTATGGAAAAGGGTAATTTTAACTTAAATTAAGTCAAAAATATGTACAATTCCTAAATTCTTAATGTATATTGTTGACCTAATAAGACATAAACTTCATGCAGCTTAATATATTTGAATCCCTTGCCTTGTTTTTTATTTAATGCTTTTCTGTGCCCCCATGAAAACGCGCTGGCCCCCTCGTTGCCCCCTGTTACATTTGGTCTAGAACCGCCACTGAGTTACGTAGTTTTAAAACTATTAATTTTATACTTCTAATTAAATAAAAGGCTTGAACTAATACTTGAACCTCTTCAAAAGTATTTTTTGACCTGGTATCTTAACTTCTACTTGAGTAATGATGGTGATTACTTTTCACACCTCTGCTTCTATACAAATACACACATATATATTTAGAAGGCGTGGTGGCTTTTATCTTTCCATGGCAATGCATCCTGATTAATGAGGAAACCGTGGTTTATGTGTTTAATAATTACAGAAACACTCTGCTGAGCTTCTGCTTTATCTGGACTCTGTATTTCCTTTTGCTGTAACAATAAAGTAAAACCGGGCTGAGCAGTGGGTAGCACTGCTGCCTTGCAGCAAGAAGGTTCTGGGTTTAATTCCCGGCCCGGGATCTTTCTACATGGAGTTTGCATGTTCTCCCTCAGCATGCGTGGATTCTCTCAGGGTACTCCTCCTTCCTCCCACAGTCCAAAAACATGACTGTTAGGTTAATTGGCTTCTCTAGATCCTCCTTAGTTATGAGTATGAGTGAATGGTTGTTTGTCTCTGTGTTGCCCTGCAATGGACTGGCGACCTGTCCAGAGTGGACCCCGCCTCTCGCCCATAGACAGCTGGAGATAGGCACCAGCACCCCTCATGACCCCAGCTGGGATAAAGCGTGACAGAAAAAATAAAATCTCTGTATTAATTCTTTTTGCATCTTTCTTTCAAAGTGTCCATGGCCGACCCAGATTATTGAAGCTGTGATTTATTTTTCCTTTAAAATGCCATTCAATGTGTCAGTATAAATAAATAAGTTTTCCAGACATTGAGGAGTGTTGGACAGAAGTGTTGGTTTTTCAGTCATGAGCTCTCAGAATCCCACCATCCCTAACCTGGTTCACAGTGACAGCAGGAACAGGCACAGCGGTCTGCTGCAGCGCTGCTGGTGGAGCGGCTGTGTTGGCGTTGGAATTAGCAGCACTGCGAGGCTCCTTCCTCGGGGCCGTCTTCCCGCTGAGAGGTTTCCCTCTCGGCCTGGGGGGGTTCTGATGCTCCAGGGAGGGAGGAGGCAACAGGTCCTTCTCTCTCGCTGCGGGGCTGGTTAGAGGAGACACAAAAACAGGAAGCACGACGCTGCGAGTTAAGATCAAGCCCAAAGCAAGCCCCAGTTACTGCTGTACGCCTGAACACTGACAAACAGCTGAGTGTAATGTTTGCCTCGGCTAACTCTGGGGGGGAATGTGAGTTCAAATGAAACCAAAAAAAATACGAGAGGATGAAATAATTGAAAACAGCATGCGTTTAACTGAACTTGTTTAGAAGTTTAGGTAGGAACAAAGGAGAGGAATGAGTGAGGGAGAGGGAAATGAAAAAGGAAGCAGGAAAGTCATTTTGTTCTCCTAATTGGCCTGAAGTCATGCAGAGCGACAAGCTCAGAGATAGTTCCACTAAATCCATGTGTGGAATGATTATCCTAAAACCTGTAAGGCTGGAGGACATCACAGCCATCCACTGAATAACACCTTGTTTATTCGTCCTGATGACACATCTTCATATTTTTATTGTGTTTTCTGTTCTTAAAGGTATAGAGAATGATCTTTTATTTCCGGCTGGATCATCTCAATAAGTGGTCCTACTAATTGTCAGTCATTCTGGTGATATGTTTACGTAAGGCCGTCCTACATGTTCGTCCCGTTAGCTATCTTTTTCTTCGCATGTGCACTTTCAGGTGTATATCTGTGGTGAGCTATGGTTTCAGACAGTCATTGAAGATCACCTTTCTCACCATGGTTCTTTGAAAATGGCCGATGGTCGTAAGAGAAAAAGTGTCTACGAAGTTTATGAGAACAAAAGAAAGGCCTCAGAAGAGGCAGATATATCCCAGAATGCTTTGCGTGGACAGCTCTTCTCGCAGAGCATTCTGGGATTTGCTGTCACAGCGGCCCACTGTTCCCACAGGCTGTCGCTACCCGACAGCTGTGACTAATAACTAAGATGGCGCAGGCAGCGAGCAGTGGAGGAGTTACGTGACCAACGGAGCAAAAAGCAGTGATCATCTGATCATCCAAACGGTAAGTTAACCGAGTCCACTATATAGTCGCCGCTCTATATAGTGATTGAGGGATTTCGGAGTTAGAACGGACGTTTGGGCACAGTAAGATTGTGCGAACTACGAGAACAGCAACTTTTACACAGGGCATGCAAGAGGAGAAATGGGCTCGTGCACGCTCTCGCACGTGTTAAATAGGCGTTCCCTCATGGGAATGGATACAGGATTGTGCATGTGCATTTCTTTTTTTAAGTGGAGAGGGCGGGTCTTTTAAAAATTCACAAAAATCCTCCACAATACCTTTAAATACACTAAAATCAGTGTAATTTCCATCCCACAGCACTACTGGGCGGTGTGTATAACCATGGGCATGCCTACATACGCTTCCTGATTTTTAATTATTTTCCAGCATCAGTTCATTGTTTGTTTATATTAGGTAAACTTTTCCCACCAGCCTTTTTCTAGCTCCTTCCTCTCCTCCTCACCTGTGCTGGTTCGCTCTGCTCCATGGCTGGTTCTGGTTATCCTCCACGCTGCTTGACCTCTCGGCCCGTCGTGGCTGTTTTTTCCCGGTGGTGATTCTCCTCGGGGCTGGGACCTCCTGTCCTGACAGCAGGCCTGGCGACAGCCTCATCTTGGACCTCTGACCCTCCCCTGAGGCTTTCTGGCCAAGCTTGGCTTTGGCCTTTACCCTGCCCGGGCTGAGCAGAGGATAATCACACATTTACGCTTCAGACTTTAGAGAGCAGATATCTAGAAATCTAGAAAACAAATACACTCACCAGAAGTTAGCCCTGCTGTCTTTGTGCTCCACTGCAGGTGCAGCAGGAACAGTTGCACCGTTGGACCCACAGGGTTTGGTTTTAGCAGATGAACCCGCTCCTGGTGCTTCAGTCCCAGGAGAAAATGTCTGCGGATCCTGGCTGATGGAGCCTTAACAGATTTACCCAGGATAAGAGCTTATTAACCAAACCAATGTTCTTCTTTATCCAAGATGTGAAAGCTTTAACGATTATTCTCGACTAACCTGAGCCATGATGCTCCTGCTGTGCAGGAACCAGAGGTTTGGTCTGAGCTTGGACTTTGTTCAACCAGCTGTCCAGTTGCCACTTGTTAGTAGAAGGGGGCTCCGGCTGCAGGAGGACAGAAACAACTTCATTAATATTTCAGCAACCTCCTACACTTTATCAGCGGAATAATAACAAACCTTCCTTCGCTCATAAACAAGTGAGAAAACTCAGCGCGCCCCTGAAATAATGAAGCTGTCTCTGAATGAAAAATCTTTACAGAGAAATATAAAACTATTGCCTTTCTGGATTGTGGTTATTGTATCACACAGCAAGCCCCTCGCTGAGCTGGATGCCCTTTATTGCTTATGTTGAAGCCGTTCCGCTGTTTGTCGGGTTCTCTCTCTGCATTTCCCCGTCACTTTCTCCCACTGTTAGACGGCATAAGCCCATAAAACCAGGCAGCGTTGAGCTATTTAAATAATGTGATAACTAATGTTGTAACTCGGTCCTCTGCAGCTGGTATGTTATGACTTTTGGGAGTAGTGGAATGTTAACGTACGGATGTTCAGAGACTGAGTGAGGGTGAGGGA